ATCTACAATCCTATGTGATCATGCAACCCTAATTGCTTTGGATCTAAGTTTTTCTCTATTGAACAGACAAATATGAACACCAAAGCAATAACCCTAGATCTAGTATATACAATTTCGAAATTCACATATATATATATATATATATATATATATATATATATATATTAGGGTTAGATGATTGCCTCACTTTTCATATTGTAATAACAAGAAGAATCCTTGCTTGATCTTGACTTCTGAAAGCCTAGTGCCCCAAGTGTTGCACCTCTAATGGATTCACAAACACCCAATGCAAAGAATGACTTGGAGAGAGGTGGAAAAATCGGCTAGGATTCTTCCAAAAACAAGAGTGGCCGAAAACAAGAGTGGCCAAAAACACTGTGTTTTCCAATTTGTTACAATTCTGACCACTTGACCGGTTAACCAGGTTACATGCTGACGTGGCATGATGACGTGTCAGTTTTGATGATGTGGCATGCTGACATGATATGCTGACGTGTCAAAATTGAATTTTTTTTCCACAAAAAACACTAAGTTTTCATTTTTTTCGATTTTGACACTAAGTTTAATTTTTTCTTTCAATTTTGACACTATGTTTTTTTGTTCCAAATCGAACATCATTTTTTCCAATTTTGTTCAATTTTGACCATTTTCCATTTGAAACCGTATAAATATATTTTTTTATTACATTTTAAACCGTATAAATATATATTTTTTGTTTAAAAACCACATTTTTATTTAAATACAAGGTGTTTTTTTTTTTTTTACATTCAAAGTATAATGTATAAATATGCATTAGTTATATCATGAGAATCAAACTAACCATAAGCTTCTAATAAGATGTGAAAATTTCAGGGGTTGCAAACTTGACATCCGAGTTTTAATCGACTACACGCCTCCAAACCTACAAACTCATTTTAAAGTTGCGTATTTAATATAAAATACGGTTTTTATATAACTAATACATATTTATACATAAAATTATGGTTTGAATGTAAAAAAAAAAAACTTGTATTTATACAAAACTATGGTTTTTAATTGAAATGGAAAATGGTCAAAATTGAAAAAAAAAATTGATAAATGATGTTCGATTTGGAACAAAAACACATAGTGTCAAAATTGAAAAAAAAATTAAACTTAGTGTCAAAATCGAAAAAAATGAAAACTTAGTGTTTTTTGTTGAAAAAAAATTCAATTTTGACACGTCAGCATATCATGTCAGCATGCCACATCATCAAAACTGACACGTCATCATGCCACGTCAGCATGTAACCTGGTTAACCGGTCAAGTGGTCAAAATTGTAACAAATTGGAAAACATAGTGTCAAATTTGAGACAAAAAAACACGGTGTCAAATTAGAATTTTGGTGTAAACGGAGTGTTTTTTATGCTATTTACCCAATATGGAAATGTTTCCATAATGAGAGTTAATGATTAGAATCTACATGTGAGTTAGAAACCTTAATGCAAGGAAGGTGTTCAAGGAGTTACCTTGAATTTGAGACTTCGTAACCATGAAACTATTTTAAGTTAAAGTTTCAATGGAGAATTTTGTGACATCGTTAGCTAAGTCTCGGTGACTTTGACGCCACGTCATCACAAAAGGATATTGCATGCAAGGTTAGACTCTAACACATTTAGTGGTGACAAAAATTTGGAATTCTTACACTTGTAATAAGGATTTGGTATTGTGAAATGAGCATCATTGGAATAATTTCCAATTGATCTATTCACAAAGGAAGGACCATAGAGAGACATAGTATGCATGTTTATAACATGGCATCACTGATGTTTTAATTCAAGTATTTAGTTGATTAATCGAAACATTAAACAATTAATAAAGTCTAATTAATATGGTGATTAAATAATAAATGTTTTATTTATATTTAATAGTTTTGAGACCATAGTTAATTAGGTTATTATTGTGTTTCATTTTTTGCATGTTTTACTTCCCGAATAATTGGATTATTCAAACATCCACAGTCGATCGTACTTTTGGAAGTAAGTAGCGAATTAAGACTGTCATGAATTGAATTGTAGATTGTCTATGGAGAATAGACATAGCAATGGTTTTGCTGCAATGATCATGAGTACTTTTGAAATGGTGATTTTAAGTATTGGATTAACTCAAGCTCAAATAATTACTTCATGGATTTTATCACGAGTAATTTTGAGACAATAATATATTATATTCTTGAAACAGAGATATATAAGTTGTTGTTTACGAGTCAGTTGTGCATTGATAATACGTACATGCATCAATAACTTGATGTTATAAAGCGTATTGTTGTGCGTGATTTGATGAGTGAATAGTGCAAGCATATGAGTCGAAGTTGGTCCGTTCCTTTTGCCCTAAACGGGAAAAAGCGATATATGTGGGCGCCTCGATGATTTAGTGATGACATCTAAAGCGTTTGGCCAAACCTGGACTGAATTGATGTGTTCAATTAGTAGTTTGATATCAGTCGTCATAAATCGGATATCGGGAAACAAATCTTGGACAGAGAGAATGATTATAATCCATGTCTCATGTCTATACTATATCTTGTAGAACGGAGGGATATTTGATCACTTATCTAAGGACACGTCACTGACTGGGCCAGAGTTCGACAGCGGCTTTTGGTAGCTACAATTTACTGACCAATTGGGTAGTTATACTGGCAGTTATAGTTATTAGACTTATCCAAGTGGGAGCCTGTTGGATTAGGTGTCTAAGTTTCATACTAAAACTATAATTGGTATAAAGATATGATATATAAGTTTCATATTAAGAAAAATAGGAAAAACCAACCGAATCGTCCATAAATCATAAAAATAAGTGCACCAAGACATATATATATATATATATATATATATATATATATATATATATATATATATATTAAAAGTATACGTCGATGTGATCCCGAAAATATAAATTTCGTAGAAAACTGAGTTTGTATGAAGGAGATATGAATTTTATAAGATATAAAAATCAACCGCATAATTAAAAATTATTAATGTCAAAAGGTACGAAGAGAATGGTTGACTTTTGGGTAAAGTCACCAAAATGAAAGTCGTTATAGGAATTTTGGTAAAAAGGAACACCAAAATTGGAGTCCATACAAGAGAATTATGATTTTTGCAAAATCATTAAATCATATAAACATAAGGGCTAAACATAAAGTCAGAATTAGCCTGTTACGCTAAAGGGAAGTTGTAGTACTCGTTGAGAGCTATGCGTGGAAAAAAAGAACGTCAAAAACAAAGTCTGTATGAAGAAGTTATGGAATTTACAAAATTTACATTTTGCGCCTCGTGCGGTGCGCGCCAGGTGCGTGACACGCACTTCTATAAGGTGAAAACCCGGACCACTAAGAGCCTGACACGTGGCACAAAGTGGCTGGAGAGATGTCACCTTAAAATGTGTGACGTGCACCCCTTTTGCACATCGTGCACCCCAAATTTGGCTATAAATACCTCATTTTTGCCCCTTCCATTCCCCACATTTCCCCTACAACTCTCTCATGATTTCCTTCGGTTCTAGCCAATTTTCTCTTAGTTTAGCCTTCGGAGAAGCTCTGCGATCCCTGAAGTAGTAATAGCTAGCAAGTAGAAGCTCTAATAGTGCAATTTCTAGACTTTTGTCCAAGAAATCTCTGTAAGTTAAGCTACACTCTCATTCTTTCAGTGTAACTTATATTTATAGTCATAGTCGTTATTATGAACCTATAAATAAGATTTATCAGTAATTCCATGTCGTTATACTAATTGATCAACTTATGGGAGAGGTGTCTAGAATGGTCACGTTGGCTTTGTTGTTGGATTTCAAAAAAGCAGTTATGCCGAAATGATCTTGCCTCCCAACTGTCCTGCCTGGTTGATCCTTACTTTATAGATCTTGATGTAGACATTGGTATTAATGAGAAATCTAGACTATAATTATAGTCGTCGGGATTATGAAACTAGACTAAGACTTAGTGTTACAAATTTATGTCATTGAAAGTGCTAAGGTGAGGTTCTGCCTATATTATGCGGCATCCACTTTTATTAAGTGAGTGTGTAGTTACTTTCATCTTACACATAGATATGAAGTATCTAGATAAATACATGCTTATGTGCTTATTATTTGTGCTGAGAATATTATCTGTTAAATATGATATTATGAGATGATATTTAACTGATTTAATCATATAAGTGTTATACACTTATAAATATGTATTGGGTAGTAATAGGTGATGGTAGATAAGAAATGATAGATATGTTATGATAGATAGGTGATGATAAATAGGTGATGATAAATAGGAGATGACTAGGAGATTCCCTTAGCTTAACTTGTGTTGTTGCGATGTAGTCATCTACCGGAGTATAGATGGCGACCACTGACTAAACTAAACAAGTCATATGGAAACATCGGCAGGATCATAACCTGTAGGTGATGAATTACGAGTTCAGGCGATGTAGTAACTACGTATTCATGGGATGATACTCTAACCCTTACTGGACACGTATTGGGGGAGTAATCCCCAAAACAATATTGTCTATGTGATGTAGGTGATGATCCTTAGGAAAAGTCCTTAGCAACAAACATATAAGGAAATGCGATGTAGGCGATGATAGGTAAATGTGATGTAGGTGATGACCCTTAGGATAAATTCTTAGGGAAGAATGAATAATAAAACGGGGATGGGTAATTAGGTTAATTTTTTGATAATTAAACATATTAACTTTATTATTGTAGTTTGAAAACCTTATGAACTCACAAGTTTCCCAACCTGACACACTCAGTTTCTTTGTATCACAGGAAGTGGTACAAAGATATTGATGTTCGGACTTGATGAGAGATTCGAGGAGATGTAGACTATAGAATAAAAGATGATGTAAGGCCCACATTTATGCTTATGTTTTGTATCCGTTATGACATCCCAAGTTTTGAAAGAATATCAATATCGAACATTCCTTCATAAATGTTTGATGTTAATATTATCTCACATTGAAATAATATTTTTGTCTTCACAAGCCTTCTAAATCACAACAGATTCTTCACTCACAACAGTCACAACAGAAGATTCTTCAATCACAATGGTCTCTCCCAACGATTCATCAAAATCGATCACATCCAATTTCTTTTGCCTTGATTCAGAAAATTTAGGGATAATCGTGATTGGGTGATTCACTGCAACATACCTTCTTCTGAGTTTGCATTTTAAGGATTCCCAAGATGAGATTTTCTTCTTCCCTTCGCGACTTATTTTGCCCTTCAGTCCTTCATACCAAATCGTCGCTTCTCCCTTCAGCCTCAAAATAGCATTCTTGTAACTCATCTTATCATCCAACCCTTTGAACGTAAAAAAAAATTCGATCTCCTCTTCCTAATCCAAATATTCCTCTGGATCGAATCCACCAACGAACTAAGGCAAATCGTTCACATTGACGTCGCCAACCTTCCTTGGGTGTTGTCTCCTTCCTTCTTCTTGCAACCCACGCAAGACATTCAGAAAAGTTGGATCTTCAAAATCCATGGCCTCTGATGCGATTTCAACAAAGTGAACTTGCTGAATCACAATAGTAACAGTCGAAACTGTGCTCTAACAAAAACTTGGCCGAACAGGTACCGAGTAAGGAGTACTCGGCCAACTTGGATGCAACTCGGGAGTACTTGGATTTGGTAATTCATGTAGAAATATTTTTAGGGAATTTATATATGTCAAAATCATAAGTTAAAATCTTAAGTATATTGAAATATATAAAAAAAATTAGATACATCTGCATACACAAAAACTGAAAAACACACAATGGTCTCACTTTGTGAATAATTACTGAAAATTTAAGACATATATATATATATATATATATATATATATATATATATATATATATATAGTAATTATCCCATGTGTGTGTTAAATAATAAATCATTAAGTATATTATACATATTAATCACCGAGTTGGTTGAGTTTTACAACACTGCTCACTTTAGTAAGGGGCTGATCGGGAAGTACTCAGATTCTGTAACTCGCCTCGGTAAGGGGCCGAGTAAGGAGTACTCGGCCAACTCGGCGAGTTTTACAACACTGCTTGCATCTCTCTTTAAATCATTACTTGGGTCTTGACTTAAATCATAAGAGTGTTTTTATTATTACAAGAAGAAGACTAGCATCATATCAAGTTGGCAGAATATTGGTGGATACTTCTAGAGAAGTTCTACCTTGGAGTTTCATGTCACACTCCATAAACTTCCAATATCCTAAGCTAATCTAAGCTTCAAATGTTGTAACACTTTTCTTTCTATGGTTGGTTTTCATCTCTCTGAGTCTTCCAAAATGATCTTTTGGTGGGAATAAAACTAGTTTTATTTTGTTCAAAATTAAAGTCTTCCGTTGCTATCTTTGTGTTTATGAAATAATGTTTGAATAAAAACTCAACATGTCTTTGATTTAATCTCAAGCATATACTAACTAGTTGTTGGGTCAAAAATATGGTTTATACTTTACTTTTCTAGGCAATTGTATTTTTCAGTCTAGGACTGTAAACGGCCTCGTGTTTACGGCTGTTTGGGTTAAAAGTTTGGGTGTTCATGGTTGTAAGGTGTTCACGGCCCTGAACATGTTCACGACCGTAAACCCATTTGGGGTCCCTATATATAGTTGTAAGGGTGGTGAGTCTGTACGGCTAGAAGAGCTTAAGTGTGTGAAACTCAAGGTGTGTTCTAGAGAGAGAAAGTGAATCTTGTGTAAGGAACTTCATTCTAATCATCAAAACATTCAAGATTCATATTATTCTTCTTCTCCTTCTTCTTTATTTTGATCTTGCATCATCCAATTGATTGGGATTCCGCACCATTAATTGGATCTGATTGATACACAAGCGAATTTGGGACTTACAGTTCGTATCAGAGCTTGGATTGTATCAATCATTTGGCCAGATCTGGAGCGTTTTTTATCTTATTTTTGAAGGATTTTTACATTTTTGGATAGTTCTTGGCAAAATAGTGGGGGTTTGTTCTTTGCGTTTTTCATAAAAACGAGTTTCTGATCGAGTTTTGGAGAAAAAGAGGTGAAAAACGCTGTTTTTTCGCGATCCGAAGAAGCTTTCACGGCCACCGAAGCAGTGTTCATGGCCGGGAAGAAGGGTTCACGGTCCTCGAAGCTTTCACGGCCCTCGGTGGGTTCACGGTCCGAGGTTCGTATACGACCGAGAAGCGTTCACGGCTAAGCATTCTCGCACGTTCACGGTCCTCGCCTTGGGTTCACGGTCAGACTTGTTGGCGGTTGGTCCTCGCACGCGTCAGCCTCGTTCTCGGCCAGCACATGATTCAAGTGAGTCTTCGATCAGAGGGTCCGAAGTTCGCAGCCATCAGCGTTCAAAAATTAATTGGGGGTTGCAAGGAATCAAACCCGGGTCACCTGCCTCCACAACCCACGTGTCTTACCAGTTGGGCTAGGCTGCTTCTTGTTTTAATCCTTCCCAATTTAATTCAAAAGGATTCCATTTCTCGGTTCTAGTTTCGCATTTTTAACACTTTTTGCCCAAAAATCAAATTTTCAAATTTTCAAATTTCATTTTCAACCAAAAAAAAATTTAGTTTTTAATTTTTGACTTTTATTTTTGACTTTTGACCTTAAAAATTGACTTTGACTTCCAAGTTTGACCTTTGACTTTCTCGTTTAACTTTCAAATTTTAAGTTTGTCTTTTTATGTTTGACTTTTATGTTTGATTTTTTAAATTTGACTTTTAAGGTTGAATTTTGAGTCTTTAATTCAAAGGGCAATTTAAAAAAAAACAATGAGTTCTTCAAACATCCCGGTAAATGAAGTTTTATGTACTCCATCTTGTGAAGCTACGATTAAATTTCTTCGCGAACAAATTGATTTGCTAAAAAGGGAAAATGAGGACCTGAAATATTAAGGCTATACCCTAAGGAAATGTCAAAAACCCCTAAATGCTCAACTAGAGGCCAAAATCAAGGACTTTAGAACACTTCAAGAGAAATATAGCAACAAATTGTGAAAACTATAACTATGTTAAGAGACAACTTGCCTCTGTGACTGCCGAGCTTGACACATTGAAAAACAAATTTGAAAATGCAAATTTTAATTTCAGAAAATATGATGTGTCAAGTGAGGTAGTTGCCTCGATGATTGAGAAGCAATTAAAATTTAAAGATAATCAAAATAAGGGCCTAGGGTATCACAGTGTTCCACCTCCCTTTAATGACAACTATAACCCACCCCTTGAGACCAATGAGGAAGAAATTCCTGCTCAGTATGGCCAACCCTCTGTCCCAGCTTCAGTTAAGACTGAACCATCTGGGCCTACTGAGGTTATTAAGGTGAATGTTTCTGATGCTCCTACTTCCTGTGCGAGTAAAGTAGCGGAAAATGAGGACAAGGAGAACATAACTACTTCTAATTCTATTGATGTTGTTGATTGTCAAACAAATAACTCCTTGAACTCTAACTCCGTTGCTTCTAATTCAGTCACCTCTAATACACCTGCTGTTGAGAAATACAGGCCACCAAAACAAGCGAAACTGACGGCTTGTTGTATGTGTGCATGTGGGAACAACCAGAAGCAAAGAAAAGGCACGCCACCAGGGGCAGGAAGAAACAACTTCCCAGTGAAGAAAAATACATGTTTTCACTGTGGAACACTTGGACACATTGCCAGAAATTGTCCTAATCGCGCATACATTCCCTATTACGCACAAGGATGGCAGAATGCGCCAAGAGGGAGATACCCCAAAAGAAGCCCTTCAAGGTCACAATCGCGCAATGGTAATTGGAACGCGCAGAAAGCGAAGAATTCAACTCCCAAATTCAAGAAGGGAATGCCGGCCAAGAAGCCAAATTCAAGAGATGCTCTAGTGAAACCAAGACCGGTTAGGTCAAAGTCATCTCGGTGATCGGCTTCAAGTTTAAAATCAAGTGCCGAGACACCCATTCGCTCGAACAAGAAATGGGTTAAACCCAACTACAGATGGGTACCAAAGGTTCAATCTCCCAAATCTTCTAATGACTCTAATATTTCTTCATCTTCTGTTTGTGATAAACATGATATGTCATGGGATAGAGTACCTTGCAAGGATGACAAAGGTCGATCCAGTTTCAAAATGGATTGGGTTCCAAAGACCAACTAATCCCGCTCTGTTCTGGAGCAGCTATGGAGGCATATCATCAAACTTCGGTTTGTTGATAGTGGCTGTTCCTGTCACATGATAGGAGGCATCTCTCAACTGTACAACACTCAGAACTTAGTTTGAGAGTATGTGTCCTTTGCGGAAGAAAGGAAGAAAGGAGAGCATCACACATGGGGTTTGTGCTTAACGATGTGAAGAATTTTTGGATCTATTATGAGATTATGCGTGCTGTTCTCAGACCTTCTGGATGCAAATTCAATCGGTGACTTACGGTTTGAGTTTTCTTCTCGATACTTCTGAGTTTTCTCTTACATTGATTCGTTTCAAAGATAATCTTTTATTTTCTTATAGTCTTTCGTTAGTAGGTATTGTTGGGAAGTGATATCAAGTGAGTGATAATGGGCAATCTAAATCATGTGTAAGGGACTAAATCTGAATTGTCTAGACTATGTGTCCAATGTGCTGGTAGGCACGAAGGATTTGACAGTGTGGATTTAGATAGGATTGTTTGGACTGACCATACGACGCTCGAGTAGATTGAGCAGTGAGATAAAAACGGGAACCCACAGGATACACTAAATTAATACGCATCTAGAACAGTGGTTCAACTTTTCCTTGATGTACGGACTTATGTCCTTAATTCTGGTTCTGATAGGGCAAATGTGGGGTTCTGATAAAGTAGGTATGTAGGAAATTATTTTCTTGCTTTCTATCTGTCAGTCATATGTTGCTTCCTCTGCGTGATTGGAAAAGATCCGACCTGGATTGCAACATATGCAACTCTAATTCTACGGACCTCCTTATCTATGAAATTCTTTCTATCTATTAGCCATATGTTGTCCCCTCTGCGTGATCGGAAGATCAGACCTGGGACACATCATATGCAACATTCTACCTCACAATCCCTCTATCTCTGTTAGTCATATGTTGTCCCCTCTGCGTGATTGAAAGAGATCCGACCTGGGACACAACATATGCACCTATTTGTAAATCTGACTTCCTCTTTAATAATTGTCTATTCACCTAAAGTAAGGAGTTCTTTGGAAGTTCTTGATAATCAAGGTATATCGGGAAGTGGGGAACACGTTCTAGTGCAACTAAAATTGAACCATTTAGAGGTTGTCTGTAGATCTCACTGCTTAATTTAAGTGGACAACAATACCCGTGGTCGTCGTCGGCTAAAT